GTTGCTTTATTCTTTAGTTTTTATAGAAAGTTGCACGGAATACCCGATATCGCGGATTCAACGATACCCTAATATCGAGTATTATACGCGATTTCACGGATAATACCCGATTTCGAGTATTCTCTCCGACCTGTTAAAGACATTGTCCGGTCACAAGCAATTTTGTAATCAGTATGGGCTTTCTTTATTTTCTTTTTATCAAAGATATAGCCCACGGAAGTTGCGGTGACAGGCTGTGTGGACGTATAGACAGGCAGACAAGGTGATTCTAAATTACCCTCTTTTTTGTAGGGAGTTATAAGTTCCTAGTTTGAAACCTGTCGAAGACGTCAAGATAGCATACGCTCAATGTAATGTTTTCAAAACAAAGTTCTTATGTTCATATTTTACTCATAAATTTTCAAAATTAAATTAAAAACACATATAAAATATATATGAAATCGATTTTCAAAGAACTATATGCGGTATACTGCATATATTGGCCCCCACAAAGGTCAAATTTTGAAAAAATTCTTGAAATTTGCTGAATTCTATAAATTTACGAGAAACATTAATTAACAGAATATACAAAATTTTCAAAGTAGTTGATTGACAATTTTCGTTGTTACGACGTAACAAACTAGTTTGATTTTATATAATTCTTTAGAAAGAGGACAAAATTTCAACAATTTTAGCTTTAAAACTTATAGAGTGCAAGTTTGCCCAGGAACAATATTTACATATTTCATTGATATTATCATTCTATGCAGCATATCAAAATATTGATCCTGATCAGACCCGCGCTCGGTGTGTCGACGTAACATATTCATTTTTCTGTGGAAATCATAGAAATTTTAAATTTACGTCATTGCTTTAAAAAATATTTAGTGTAATGAAGACAGCATATATCCCCCTGTTTAAGAACATAATAGAATATTTCTCCGTCAAAATTTGATTTCGGGGACAAATATCGGTTACTACCGAATAAAGTTCCTTGAAATATACTGACGAACTTTAAAAACGCAACATCATAATTATTTTTCAAAAAATATTGAAAACTTTTATTGCAATCTTCGTTCACCATATATAGTGCTGATTTTTAAATTCCACTACCCGACTTACCTGTGCTAGTTGTCCCCCGCTTGAAAAGTGGGGGATATTAATTTGGGTTTGTCCGTCCGTCCGTCCGTCCGTCTTTCTGTCTGTCTGTAACGCTTTCGTTTCCACACGATATCTCGAGAACCCTTTGAGCTTTTGCAATGAAATTTAGCATAGCAACTCCCTATGGACTAAAGAAGACCCCTATTGATTTTGAGATCAAAAGGTCAAAGGTCAAGGTCATAAATAAGCAAATTCTGTCTGTTAATACACTTTCGTTTCCACACGATATCTCTAGAACCATTTGAGCTATTGCAATGAAATTTTACATAACAACTCCCTGTGGCCTAAAGAAGACCCCTATTGATTTTGAGGTCAAAAAGTCAAAGTTCAAGGTCGTAAATTTATACATTCTGTCTGTGTGTAACACTATCATTTCCGGGCGATATTTCAAGAAGATTTTGAGCTGATGCAATGTAATTTTATACCAAAACTCCCTAGGACGTCTCTCGCCCCTCTCAAAGTGCCCCACCCCGTTTGTTTTATTAGTATTTATAGTATTACATGTCGCTATTTTTAGCGCAGGGGCATGAGGAGAGTTATTGCGTATAAAACAGGTTCTCGGCGGACTTTATGTTCTTATTACATCTATTAGAACTGTTTAATAAAGGCTAAATAAATCAAACACCATGGATTGTGTAAAATTTTGAGAATACCGAACATGAAAACATGAATATATACATGTATGTGACTTCAGTTCTGCATATACTTCACTACGTGTAAAGCGTCTCCGTGGTCTAGTGGTTATGTCTCTAGCTTCAAATGTGAGAGGTCCCGGGATCGAATCTCGGTCGGACCGTTCTTTTTTTTCTTTTTTTTTTAAATACTTTTTTTTTGACTAAATGATAGTATTCAGCATGTGAAATGAAAAATAAATTTATGAGGTCTGCCTTGTACAAACTCATAAAATCATCATTACAGAGTGATAAATATTCCATATGAAAAAATCTTCTATACACATAATAAAGAATAAGCAATCAAATCTTTATATGCATATTGACATACATGTATTTTATTTCCTTCAGTATACATGTATACATTTAATAATTCTACAAATTCAGTCAGGGGGAGCCGACTTTTTCCCTAAGCGGGGGACACGAATTCTCTGAATTAGCTTGTTGTTTTCATGATGTGAGTAGTATTGCACGAGATATTCGGGCCTTTTTTAAAACATATGGAAAAGTGAAAAGGGGGTTTTGTCGTGATCAATCAACTTTGTCGATGAAAGGATAGTCACCACTAACAGAAGAAATCGAAATAAAGATAATGCCGCGGTTAAATAATGAAATGCGAAATCGAGCACTCGGTCTGCTGCAAGCAGGCGGGAAGTTGCAAGGCGCTTTAACGTCCATCCCTGTACAATTAGCCGGTTGCTGCATCGGTTTCATCAGACAGGAACAATAAATGATCTTCCAAGACCAGGTCAACCGCGTGTGACAACACCACGTCAACAGGCGTACATACGCCAATGTTATTTGCGAGAACGTTTTACGGCAGCTGCGACCACGGCGAGGGAAATTATTGGACGTCATGGGAGGCCTATACATCCTAGAACAGTTTCCAGAATACTAAAACGCCATGGGATTCGGTGCAGAAGACCTTACAAAGGGCCACAACTAAAGAAGCATCACCGACGTAACAGATTGCTATGGACCAGGCAGAATCTGAATCAACGCAGGAATAAGACACAGGTTGTATTTTCAGATGAGTCTAAGTTTAATGTTAGCAATGCAGACGGCAGATGTCTAGTTTACCGTCGTTTACATGAACATTTTGTGGACAATTGTGTACTTGAACGCGACAGATATGGAGGGGGTGGCGTCATGGTCTGGGGTGCGATAAACCACCATTTTCGTTCACAACTGGTAATTTTGAACGGAACTCTCACTGCCAGGAGGTACGTAGACGAAATTCTCCAGCCTGTTTTAGCACCATTATTGTATCAGCATAGACAAGCCAACAGGCTTATTTTTCAACAGGACAATGCGCATACGGAATATGAACATACGGCAAGATTAACGCAAAATTTTCTGCAAACGATCGGCATCAACGTCCTTGATTGGCCAGCTTTGTCTCCAGACTTAAATCCGATTGAACATTTGTGGGACGAGCTGGGGAGACGTGTGCGCAGACGCCAGTCTTAGCCTCAGAACCCACAGGAACTTGAGAATGCCTTGTTGGAGGAGTGGCAGAATATTCCTCAAAAGACTTTTCGAAGTGTCTGCCAGTCAATGACACGTCGCCTGCGCGCCGTAACTCGTGCCAATGGAGGACATACACGGTATTAGTGATCAAAACCACATTTTTGACGCACCCCTCTTTGACATTCTTTTCAGTTGTACCCCTTTTGTGAATAAAAGGGTGTTGAAAATTAAAGAACAATGAACATTGAACATGGTTGAATGTATACAAGAAATAATTTGTTTACTAGATATATGAATAAAGAACTTTATTCGGTAATAACCAATATTTGCCCCCCAAATCAAACTTTGATGGAGATATATTTAATTAAGTTCTTAAACAGGGGAGTATATGCTGACTTCAAAGCACTGAATATTTTCATAAGTAATGACGTCATAAGTACGTAATGACGTGACAAACATGCCGTAAATTTCAGTTTTTTATGAATTTTACAGAAAAATATACATATTTCGTCGATATTTTGAGTAAAAGTCACCAAGCGCATGTGTGTTCAGGATCAATATTTTGATATAATGTGTAGAATGATAATATCAATAAAATATGTCAATATTGTTCCTGAACAAACTTGCACTCTATAAATTTTAAAGCTAAAATTGTTGAAATTTTGTCCATTTTGTCCTCTTTCTGAAAAAGGATATAAAATTGGACTAGTTTGTGACGTCATAAAAACAAAAATTTTGAATACACTGCTTTGAAACTATAATATTTTCTGTTAATTTATATTTCTCATACAATTTATTGAATTCAGCACATTTCTGGAAGTTTTCAAAATTTGACTTTTGTGGGGGCAAATATATGCAATATACCGCATATAGTTCTTAATAATACCAAATATTATTAGGTGTTGCGTTTTTAAAGTCCGTCAGTATAGTTTTAGGCTTAGAGTTCTGTGGACAAAGGCAGTACTGCATATATGTCTTTGTAAAAGAGTGACTTAGTGAAAAAAGTTCAATATCTATCAAAAATTAAATGAACTACTGCATGAAAAAAAATTCTTAGCTTGAAAACATCCAGACTGAAGGGGTACCCTGGCTTGGGGAGTCTTGATTTGAAACTTGAATCTACACCACCTGGGGATGCTTTCATGTTATTAACAAGAATTATCATGACAATGCCTTTCTCGAAGAACAGGCACTTGAACTTTAGTGTAATTGAATGTTAAATTTCAATGAAAATGTTTATTTTTTTCTGGCATATTTTGTTTTGCATGATCTCGAAGGGCAAGACAGTCATTCTTCTCAAATGAATTGCTGACAATGAGCTTAATTTTAAATCAAAGTCCATTGAGAAATAGTTGGTTCTGTTAGTCCAAATACAATATCGTCGCCCGCATGTCGCAGTGGATAGAGATATGCTGTACAATCGCGAAGAAAGAAGTTGATCCGTACGTGGCGGGTTCCAATCCCAAAGTGGTCCTTAGGATAAACTGAGGTCCAATGTAGCAGTTAGTGTAGGTGTTGGCACGAAAAAGAACCCTCCCTGCTTAATGACCCTAAGTACAGGACAAAATTTGCAGCTCTCCACCGGCAAGTTATGGAGTCTCAAAATGAGTGAAAAATCTCGAGAGGGAATTAAACAATATACAATCAATCAAATACAATTATATCAAGATAATTAAGTACTTTACTTCTGAGAAAACTAGAAATTAAACTTAAAAAGCAAAGGTGCTTAAATATTTATTGTTTATCTTCATTCTCGATTTTCCATAAATCATATAATTCCTTCATCTGATCAGGTCAACGAAGCTGGAAGTTGACACTTGGAGCATGGAGTATTTTTCTGCCAAAAAAAAAATAAAAGGTATGTTTTTCCTAATTAATAGTTTTTTTAATTAAAAAAAATCAGCTAATATCCACAACTCTAACACAACATTACAAAATCTGGTCACAGTCCTGCGACCGATAATTTGCACAAATAACTTATGGTCATATAAGCATTTTTTCTGTAAATTTACATACATCTGCCTCATTGATGTATTTTTGATAACAAACTACGCACAAAAGCACAAATAAACCTAGAAACAAAAATTAACATTATAATATATTATGTTCTTTACCTTTCTCTAAAGATATCCTTCAATTAAAAAATTTTTTGAAACCGAATTTTTGGAATATCTATAACTTGATATTTAGCAAAATATTAACGCAAAATTGGAAAACAGGAGGAGACATCGGTGTTCACGTTTTCCTGCCATGTCAGATATCGACATCATTATCATTTTTAAAGAAAGGCATGGAAAAGGTCCGATATTTGGGACTTGCCACATACATGTACAGCTGTATAGGTGTCATAACAGTATTTCACTTGAGTTCAAATCGATCATGTCTGACTCAAAATAATCCCGGAATCTCCCCTTCCGATTCGGGCATTTTGATACGAGACAGGGGCTGAATTTTTTTTATGAGATGAAAAACAACTTCCTGTATTGACCAGATTTCTTAAAATTTAGGGCGTGCTGATTTTTCTATATACTGTCAAGAGTGGGGAGTGATTAGGCCTTGGACTAGATTTTCCAGCACCTGTTCGACTTCGACCGAAACAAATTTGCCTGCCTTGCTGGATGGCTATGTATTTTTTTGGTAATAAACTCTTTATAAAGAATGGTTTTACAAGATATGAAAAGGGAACTTCTCAGAAGTTTGTTTTGAATGAATTACTTCTAATCAAACTTGTGCATTTTTGGTGGAATATATAGCAGAATTTAATACTCTTGTGACACCTATATGTTTTTGTTCAGAAACTCACAGGTAAGACAGAATTTTTTGCTGTAGCATCTCCCTCGAATCGTTTTATCAGAATTTCAGTAGATTAAATGAACATTGAATTTTAGCAAAACTTATAACACAATAAATACTGTAGAAGGTAAAAACTAATACATACAGAAGAAGATCGCTGTTCTGTTGTTGGATGCTGCGTTTCGACTTAGATTTGAATTTTTGTTTTCCTCTCTTCGTTTTCATTTTCGTTTTTTTCTTCTTCCTCCTTCCACGGGTGTAGTGAACAGTTCCATACATACCAAAAGCAACATAATGACAAATGCACCTGACAACTAATTCATTAGTGATATATGAAACAAGAGGCTCATGGCTCACAACGCTGTCCCGAGTTACTATAATAGCTCACAACGCTGTCCCGAGTTACTATAATAGCTCTTCTGTTCTTAATCAGTACATTTCCCCAATATATGCCGTTGTAAACAAATGATAGATATATTTTTAATAAACATCTTTTAAAATAAGTGAAAATTTTATTTTTTTCAAAAACCAAATTTCTTTGAGTACAGTTTGTGAAATTAAAGAGTATATCATTGCTCTTAATCAAATTAATGTACAGAGAAATTGAACCAAAATTAAATTAAAATTAAATTAGACACACTTTATGAAATAACATTTATAGTCTGCATTTAATGACAGAAAGAGCAATACAAAATATTTTTATTTATTTTAATGAGAACGATTTATAATTTTATTTTTTTTCTTCGGCGTACGGTTGTCCCGTAAAGTGCAGATTTAAATTAAGGGATGGAAGAATTAGGAATAGTGGAAATTTTGGCTTGTTTTATCAAATTGATAGTAGAATGTTGAAACTTGAACAGCTAAAATATTTTTGCGTCAACATACAGAACATGATTTTTTTTTAAAGTTACAGCAATAATTCGATATATCTTTCTTAAAGCTTGTCTTCGACTTTTGCCAAAATCAGTTTTAAAGAAATGTAAGAAGACGTTTTTATCTTTGCAGCTTCGTCACCTACTAATATAGACATATTTCTGAGGAAAAAAAAAATCATCAGCCGTTAATTTAACCCTGCAATTCGATAGTATGTTTTCTACACTTCTTCAACTTACCTTCATCGTAATGTCTTACACTCCTTTAAAGTTAATTAAAAAGCTGTAATTTATAGATACAAAATTAGTAACTCGTCATCATTAAACCAGTTAGAATTTAAACGCCCATAATGTCGTGCGTTTTCGATGCATTGATATAATTATAACCTTAGGAATATGCACAAAAATTAATTCGAAGTTAATCTGCACGACGCATGCATTTACGTCATTATATTTATTTGTGATGAATTTTTAATGAAGCGGTTTTCAATTTATTTACATAGTACACGTATATATTTTCTTGTTTTAATTTCCTTATTTTATTATTTAGAAAAGTGCAACTAAAAGTACAACCAAAATTTCTACAAAATCCACAGACTGAAGGTGACTTATCTTTTTTTCCCAATAAAGAATAATCCCTATTTTCTCGATAGACGATGTTAATCCACGGCCTCAGGGATATTATGATGAAATATTGAATATATATATATATATATATATATATATATATATATATATATATATATATATATATATATATATATATATATATATATATATATATATGTATATATAGTTCGTCTTATGAACACCAGGGCATCATCAGCCGTGTTTTCAGTAGTTCAAATTACAGTTGTTTATTTTTCAAATCTTGCTTCCCTTTAGTAGAGGATCGATTACGGTAAGGGTATGAAACGTAATATATACATGTAATGCCATAGAGTCTGTCCTATATAGAGAGTTTATGAAATGTACATATTATTACATTATTTTTGGACTGTTGTCGGACTTTTTTTTGAAAGGTTAACAAGTATTTATTTTGACTGCCTTTTGATGGACTTTTTCGAGAAGCGCTGACTTTCACAATCGACGCTTACTTTTACACAGGTAAAATGTACGGGAGGTCGTTTTTAATATAAATATTGAAATAAACAGTTGATGATAAAATACGATTAATTCGGTCATTTAAATAATTTTCAATATTTCGTTGTCCAGAAAAGGAATTCCCTGCCAAAAAAGTACTTGAGCCAAATGTAGTCAAGTTTACTCTTCGATAATTATAGTAACTGTATACGAGGGGTGATCAAAACGTTCGCGAACTAATTGAATATCTTCTATAAAAGAAACAATATTTGATTTCAATGTTGATTGTCCCCCGCTTTCGCGAAAGCGAGGGGACATTAAATCTCATTCGTCTGTCTGTCTGTCCGTCAGTCTGTCCGTCACAAAAACTTTAACCTTGCCCATAACTTTTGATTTTGTGGAGCTATGACTTTCATATTACACATGTGTATTCCTTGTGAGAAGACCTTTCTTTGGGTACCACCAAATTTGACCTTTTGACCTTGACCTTGGAGTTAAACCCCCTTTTTACACAAAAATTCCAAACTTTTACTTTGGCCATAACTTTTGAATGGTAGATACTAGGACTTTCATATTTCAAATATGTATTCTTTGTGGCAAGACCTATCATTGGATACCAACAACCTTGACCTTTTGACCTTGACCATGGAGTTTCACGTACTTATTAAAAAACTTTAACCTTGATCATAACTTTTGAACGGTGAGAACTAAGGCTTTCGTACTTCACAAATGTAATTCATGTGAAAAGACCTTCCATTGGATATCAACTTTTATCCTTTGACCTTGACCTTGGAGTGTTAACTACTTTTTTAACTTTAACCTTGGTCACAACTTTTAAACAGTAGCTACTACATGTAGGACTTTTATATATATTTTTCCACATATGTATTCTTTGTGGTAGAACCTTTCATTGGATACCAACAGCCCTTACCTCTTGACCTTGACCTCTGAGATTTACGTACTGATAAATAAACTTTAAACTTGACCATAACTTTTGAACGGTGAGAGCTAGGGATTTCATACTTCACATATGTAATCCTTCTGAGAAGACCTTTCATTGGATACCAACAACTTTCACCCTTTGACCTTTACATTGGAGTTTTAATTACTTTTAAGAAACTTTAACTTTGAACACAACTTTTGAACGATAGATACTAGGACTTTCATATTTCACATACATATTCTTTGTGGCAGGACCTTTAATTGGATATCAACAACTTTGACCTTTTCACCTTGACCTTAAAGATTTACGTACTTATGAAAAACTTTAACCTTGACCATGACTTTTGAACGGTAAGGGCTAGGACTTTCTTACTTCACATATCTAATCCTTGTGAGAAGAACTTTCATTGGATATTAACAACTTTGACCCTTTGATATTGACCTTGGAATTGACCTACTTTAAAACAAACTTTTACTTTTGCCATAAGTTTTTTACGGTCAGGATTAGGGTTTTCATCCTTCAAAACAATCAACTTCAATGATAATTTCTAAATAAATGACATATGATAGGGTGTTCATATTAGACATAATATGTCATAAAAAATAACATCTCACCCACAAAGATACCGAAAGCGGGGGACCACAATTCTTTGAATTTGCTTGTTATGTTTTAAATTCATCTCCGAATATAATGCACATCATGCACCGTTCTGCGCATGCGCGAATGACGTGATATTGGCGGTCACGTGACCTCCTCTGCAGCGTTCTGTCACAAAAGTTGAAAGATTTTTCTGAGTTTTATATTACTTTCCTTGTGAGTTAATTTTTATGACAAGAACAGTTCATTTGTCAGAAATGGTCAAATCTCGGCAACAGAATGGTTGGATAAGAACACCCTTTACAACAATAAGCATAGCGACCATGAAAAAACAAATCGTCTGTCTGGGGAGAGACCTTTCTTCAAGGTGGATAGAGAATGTGTGCTTCCTTTTTATCATAACTAATACGTTTAAAATCTAAAGTAAACGATATCTTACTAGGTATTTAATAATTATGTTATTGTTCAAATATTAAACTATTTTTCGAAGTGTAAATTGGAGGTCTTTGATAGCAAATTGCTTAATAAAAAACACATCTCTTTTCAAACCTTCTCTCACTGGGCAAGATGACAAGTATCATTTTTAACCATCTGCCTTCCTTCACTAAAGCGATAAATGCAATCATTAATTAAATTTATAGGAGCTCATTTATCTTAATTAACTGTGTACAAATCATAATATGATACTTCAGAGGGATTTCTAAGATAAACAATAAATTGTACAGTCGTTTGTTCAACGAGTTCGACTGAAACAACCATTTTTCGTCACAAGTGACCAACATAGTGACGTCATTTTCACATTGTGACGTCATAAATAAGGAGAAAAACTTTATTCAATATATTATTTATAGACCTTGTGTATGGCTATGTGTGTACCGAATTTCATTCTAATCTGAATTGTGGTTTTGTAGATATAAAGATAGTTCGCACATAATATTATTGTTATATTATTAATTTACCCACAGCCGAGGGGCCTTGTAGTGGGTGTTGCTAAAACGCGGAACAGAAAACGGAACGGAACGGAAATTTTTTTGTCAAACAAATAATATAGATTCAACATAAATCAGATAGAAGAGCAATATTCTTGTTGTAAAAGTCATTTCTAATAAAAAGGAATTGTAAACTATTATATACTCATGAGTCTTACACACCCTCCGTGGAAAAAATGCTACTGAAAGAACCCCCCCCCCACGTAAACACACGAAATAGGATTTTCGTGTTTGGGCAAAGGACATATCGAATCCCCCTTTTTTTTTGCTAGTCAAATTTGTTGTATGTTGATCCCACCCCCTCTTTCAATTTGTTTCCAATGTCAATGTATGAAAAGACAAAATTAATAACTACACTGTAGTTATGCTATTCAGATTATGCACGCAGTGTCGAATTCGCGAGTCATGTGTAGGGGCCCACAGCCACATAAAAAATTTAATTTATTAAACCTTATGTACATTTTGGACATTAAAAGGGGGGCAGACCTATTACAACTTCAAAGACATTTCTGATGAGCGGGAAAACAAGCTCATTCTTACGGGGTCATTCGAATTCAAATATTCCTCCCCCCCCCCCCCCAAAGATGCACACATATGTGCCGCAAACAAAAAAAAAAATCAACTTCAATGAATGCAAAGATTTTGCAATCTGCATTATATCTACCACAACTTTGTCTATCCAAAAAAGGACTCTATTTTTGAATAAAATTTTAACGACCAGTGTGTATAAGAGAAGTTTACTCGAGCTTGCCGTAAAGGTTTGCCCTAAATGTAATCTTTTTTTTTAAACATTGTTTTCTCTTTCCATGGTTCATTTAGATATCAAATATTTGCCCCCCCCCCCATCATAACCTTTTTACTACGGAAATGTTCGTTCAAGTTCCTATTCTCACCCTTTTTGTGAATATAATAAATGTAGTAAGTTAGCGTAAAAAATAGTACTGAAAGATGTTGGGAGTTGGAACTTATACCCCTCCCGAATTAAACAATTGTTTTCTTTTTGTGTTTTACCTCCCCTCCCGAATCAAACAATTGTCTTCTTTTTATGTTGTTTGCTTGTCAAATACTTTTCAAATTCGTTTACCCCCCCCCCCTCCCTTTTCAAATTCGATTCTATGTGAATGCTATGTTAGCGACTTTTGTAAATAAGAGACTGAGCATGACAAAATCAACTTGTATTTGATAGTGGGGGATTGAATGTGTACAAGATATATCGTTTATGATAAATTTGTGTATTTTAAGTAATTTAATCCAAAATAATATATTCCGTTTTCCGTTCCGTTCCGTTTTCCGTTCCGCGTTTTAGCAACACCCCCCCTGTAGTGTAGTACTGCCATAGGGTTGAGTATAAGCTTTTGTTTGTTGTGAGGTGAAAGCCCTTTATGGCAATGTACATCCAAAATGAGCTATACCTGCATGTGCATATACATCTATTTATTACATAATGACTGTTAATTATGTCAAAAAGATTTATCACATGTACACATTATTATTACTACTGCTATTGTCTTCTTTTCCAAGCTTAGAAAATGTACTGTGAAATGAATCGAATGCTATAGTAACCTATTATTATGAATATAGAGTGTAAATAAATGAAAAATTATTATTTTTTTACGTCGTAAAGGATATTTGAGCTGATACAATATAAAGTGTTTTATTAATTCCAGATAGTTTTGAAAGAAGGGCCTACTTATGAGCGAGATTCCAGCAAATGTTCATGTGCCATTGGATTATCTGCCTCATGTGGACACATTACCGGCCTACTCTATTGCCTAGCTCATATGAAAACAACAAATAT